TTTACAAATGTATATTATTTGTATTTACATATATACACTTTTTTATTAACTAAATGTAGAAAATTATTTGTTAATTGTAAATATTAGTTTATTTATAATTAGAAATTAAGAATATATTAGATAGTTTATAATGGTTTTAGAAAAAATAAAAGAGATGTTTATATGTTAAAAAATTTGTTGTAAGAATTCAATATATTATTAGTATTGTTATTATTATTTAATCATTACATATACAATAATTAAAAATAAGTTTTCTATGTAGTATTAATATGGATGTTATTAAATTTTATATTATTAATATGATTATTATTGAATTATGATTAGTATTGTTATATTTTTTGTTATTATTAATAGTATTAGTTATTTATTATAGGATATTATTTTTGGTTAAAATAATTATGGTTAGTGTTGTTTAAATAAATTAAAATTAATAATAATAATATAGTTAATAACATTAGTTAATTTTTGTTGTTAAAATTTTGTTATTAATTAATTATTATATGTTTTACATTGTTTCAGATGGTATAATTATCGGTACAATGAAGATTATTAATCCTAAGTTAAAGAATTCTTCTTTACTCTGATTTTAGAGTATTTGTGTCTTCAAACATATATAAAATGGTGATGATCACCCAATACCTCAAGGTTAAGAAAAGTTAGTTTATTCTTGTTTGAGACATCTCTGTTAATAATATTTATAATAGTTTCATCTTTATTTTCTTATACGCTGTAAAAAAATTCTTAAGTCTAAAATTTTATGACTTCTATTAAAGTTAATTACATCTAAAATTATCAAACTAACTCTTTTAGATAAAAAATATTGACATCGTACACTAACATAATATCAAAGTCTTAAATAGGTTTCAAACCTTCACAATTCCTCTTAATTTTTCAACTATAATACATCATAAGAAAAACAAATAGATCTAGGTGGTAATCCTAAATATACACATAATTAACACAACAAAACTAATAGTTGCAATCACAAGTTATCCCCTAGGTAATTTATCCCTTATTCTTTGGTCTACTTGGAGGAGGGTTATTATGCATACCAAGGTATGACATAGCATAGTACAGGGGAAATGAGACTTCAATCCCTCACCACGTCAACCATAACTACAGGGGAGATTAAAAGATCATTTATAATAGTTTTAGTAAAAATCACATTCCCTATAAATATGACTATCTGGTTGATAGTATTCTAATCTCATTGCCCAACCCTCATAGAGAATGCTATGCACTGATGATACACGCTTCCAAAGTTCATTTTGCATCCATAACATTGTTAAAGGAACAAAACAAAGAAAGAGTGAGTATAACCATTCTTAAACTATTTTATAAAGAAAATACCCAATTGCTAATTAATATAAATTATCAATCATGAAGAGTTTCAATATATTTTAATTAAGTCTTTTCCATGGAATAATTAATTATCCATGAAAATTGAGAATAACATAGTCCAGATAGTGGCACAGGATACATCATCCCTTATTAAGACTACAATTATAGTGCACAATCATCACAAAATATAGTCACTTCTTGTGGTTTACACTCACATTGATTGTGAGATACTCGAGTGTTAGTCAAGATAGTTTATTATGTTTTTCATATAAGTTAGCTATATTTGATCCTTATTAGTACTTGGATACTTTATTATCTTCATTGTTAGATACTTTAACCAATCACTTTTTGCCTAATGTTTATACTTAGCATTACTCTACTACTTTGTTGTGCTATTAATTCACAAACGCAACATTAATCTAAGTAAAATCACAACCCATAATCCAGTCCATGTGATCTATATTTAACTTAAAACATAATTCTCTTATATAAGAGAAAGATTTTTATCACCATGGACTTGGCTAATTTCAAAATTTTCTAAATTTCATGTATAATATTGTAAAATTCATAATTTATTCACTATTAGTTCAAAATCATGAAATCAATAGGGTTATCTACATCTAAGTGTCTATTTTCATAAATAAAATATACAAGCATAGATCACACACAAAATATACTATAGCTACAAATTCTCTTTGTATATCACAAAACTTCATGTTCTAACACTGATCAATAGAAAATTTATAACTAATTCATTTCAAATCTAAAAGTCATGAACCAAGTGGAATTATTTTCCTTTGAACACAAATATAAGAAGAACTTGGACACACACATAATTTCAACAAGAGCTATAGTTTCTCTCTACATGTAAGAGAATGTTATTTTCTAACATTAGTTTGGTATAAAATTCATAACTAATGCATTTTAAATACAATTTCAATGAAATTTGTGAGTAATTACTCCTAAAATAATTCTCTATATAAATAAAATGTCTCAGTGATTTATTTCTAATTAGTCCCTATAATTTACAAAATTTATAGTTTAATCTCAAAATTTTATTTTATTGCAAAAATGTCATTTTTATTAAAAGTTTGTCAATTTCAGCAATGTTGTACATTTTCCATCATAATCCTAACGCATTCCCAAACCTTAAACATTTATACAAAATACAGCTATGTGGTCCAAAGTATATATTCCAATTTTCATACATATTTAGAGTCAAAACTATAGTACTTCGTTAATTCAAATTCAACTACACATTAATTTAATTTATTAATGAATATTGACACAATAAGAAAAAGTTTTGAAAACAAAAATTGCATGTCAAAGAGAAAGCAATAAAGCGTACAATTATGATAACAATGGATTCTAAATCATACTAGCTATAAATAAAAAACAATATTGTAATAATTTTTTTCCTAATTATAAAAAATAAATGTTTTTTTAAATATATTAATTATAAAAAAAATTTATATCCTTAATCTATTATAAAATCATGTTAACTAAGTATAATTTAACTCTAATATTAAATAAAAGCAAAAATTAATTTAAATAAAATTAAAATATCAAATAAATTAGGAATACCACAATAAAATTTTAAACTTATTTATTAAAGACATAATATGTATCATATGAATTGATGTGCTATGATTTTGAATCTAATAATTACCAGACTATATATATATATATATATATATATATATATTTTAATTCACGTTCTCAAAGCTATTCAAGTATACATGCGTACTAATTTCCTATATCATGAATTTTTCATTAAGATTTACATTTGAACTCACATTAATTTGTTACAAATATCTAAATAAAAACAAACAAATCCCTTAAATTAATTGTTAAACTTATTCATGTGTCATTCTAAATTATGAATTAACCTGTTTTTATTAAAAAAAAAATTACAATTAATTATAGTCTACAAAGGTATTAGATAATTCTAATATCAAGACCAAAAATTACTCATGTTGTAGCATCACACACACCTCTAATTTTAACTAATATATTATATTTTGAATATAAAAGAATTACGTATATTTAATTAGTTTTAATTCTTGGTATTTTTAAAAGAGAATAAAAATTAAAACAATAAAAGGATAAAAATTTAAATATTAAATTTTATATTAATTACATAAAAGAATAAAAATATAATATAATTTAAAAAGTATAACTTATAAAGATGCAATCTAAATTTAATTATATATATATATATTTATTTATTTATTAAAAAAATTGTAATTATTATAGGCTCAATATCTTTCATTATTTCAATTAAACCACCTTTAACAAAATAAATAAATAAATAAAAATAATAACACTTAAAATTTTACTACTTTTAAATCACAAAATCAAATTAAAAGTTATAGATATTCTTAAGTATTAAATTATATAGTTTTAAGTATTAAATTATATAGTTTTAAGTATTAAATTATATTGGATTAAACATGTCAATTTAAAATTACTGAAACACATGAATCAACTTGTGAGAGATCATTTTAGCGTAATCTATAGTCTCAAATTCGAATCATAATAAAAATAATTGTATTAAATATTCAGAGAAATTTTTTTGTCACCTATATTAGTCTTATTCAAATCGAACAAAATTATTTATGATAAAAAATACACGGGATTTAGAAAAAAATGTCAACTTAAAATATAATTAAAATCTAATTAAAAAAGTTTAATTTTTAAAACTTTGACATATAGTTATCCGGTTAAATTAATTTTTGAACTCTATTATAGCGTTGAAATATGAGTTGGTACATACTTATAAGGGGTCTAATTTTTTTTAAATTATAAATTTTGCACCAAATAAATGTTAAATAGCGTTGCAAGCGTTACATTCATAAAAACATAAATTTGAAAACAGTTATAGATTGACCAGCAAAAAATTCTAAATTTTATTAATATGGAATTATAAAACAACTCTAATTTGTGAAAAATAATTACATCTTGATAAATATAAATAAATATAACTTGGATGGTGAATTCTACCTCGTTGTTGAAATGACACAAATTTATAGTTTGATTCGTTTAAAAAGTCGTTTTAATTAATTAAACTGTACTAATTTTTAAAATTTTTTATGACAATAATTAATAATTTAAAAAATACTATAACTAGTAATTCCAAAAGGAAAGAATATATACGTGTGAATGTAAAAAGTTGATAGCATATTTTAAATTTGTAGTTTGGACTCTTCATGGGAAATTTGTAAGCATAACATAAAATGATGATGATAATAGTAATAAGCAAACGAAATTTCTTTAGTAAAAATTGTAAATATGAATAAAAAATCATAAATATTAGGAATAAATATTAATATAACTAGTTAAAAACAAGTTTCCTACAACTGGCATTCAATTCAGGCAACTACTTCGATTGAAAGACATTCTAAATCCAACAAGTTAATGTACAAATTAAATCATCATATGTGTCGTTTGTCTGCACATGTTAAACCAGCTAAGGTCTCAGCTCACTAAAGTACACCAGAGCGCGCACTACGCACACAAAAATCTTAATCCCCCCCTCCCTTCACATGCGGTGCGCATCACGCTTCAAGGTCACGTTAAAGCCCAGCCCCAAAATTTAGATTAGATTGCTAACATCAAAGAGTTAAAATCAGTGTGTAGTTTCCACTCACTGTCTCGCTCACTATTTAACTTAAAACGGCAAAGCCTCTCTGCAAAGCGCAAAGCTCACTCACTAACTCACTGTTCTTTTTTTATTCATTTGTTAAATCTCACTCTAAGACGCACACGCAGATTCAAATCACGAATATAGAGAGAGAAACAAACAAGACAAAAGAAACATAAGAAGGAAGAAAGAAAGAACCAAAAGCATCTATTTCTGTCTCTCTCTCTTTTTTCCGAACTTTCTCTCTCTAGAACCACCATTTTCGAGGTCGCGTTTTCTGGCTCTTTATATGTGGTGTGGAATCCGGGTTTTGTTGTGTGCGCGTGCGATTTGGAATCTGGTGGTGTGAGCATTTGGATGTGAGAGAGGAGAGTTTTTTGGATTCTCGGTTAGATCGGCGATGGCGGAGGTTTCCGGCGACGGTGCGACGCCGGCGACGCTGTCGGTGTCGGGATCGTTCAAGGAGGGGAAAGGCTCGTCGCGGCGGCGCGGCGCTGTGAGGCCGCCGAGTATGGACGCCGACGAGTTCATGAACCTGTTGCACGGCTCGGATCCGGTGAAGGTGGAGCTCAATCGCCTCGAGAATGAAGTTCGAGGTGCGAAAATGCAGCTCGATCCGAATTGTTCTTCAGCTTAATTTTTTGTTTTTCTTTTGGGTTTTTTGTTTTTTCGTTATTATATGTTTATCACCGTGTGCGTGTGTTTGCGCGCGCAGATAAGGATAGGGAATTATCGGAAGCGCAGGCTGAGATCAAAGCCTTGAGGCTCTCTGAACGACTCAGAGAAAAGGCCGTTGAAGAGGTCACCTCTAATTTTTCAATTATTGTTAACTATTGCTGTTCTTTCTAGTCATTGATTGGGGGTGTTGTTTTCTTTCTTTCTTTCTTTCTTTTTTAAATTGTTATTTATTATGCTATTTAGCTAAAATTATTACTAATTAATTAGTGCCAATTGCACGTTGGTCGTGGTGTTGGGGTTAACCCAGGTCTTGTTTTCTTTACTGGTGTGAACACATTATTGACATATTAGAATCTAGAAAGTAATTATGTGTGATTACTATGTTTGAACTTCAAGTTATGTATGTATGAATGTATGTATAGCTAATACTTTTGAAAGAAAGTGTCTATGTTAAATTTAGTGCTCTGGCTCTTATGTCATTGTGATAAGCTCTTACTTGTGTTGACCAAATGTGGAAAATCCATTTCTCAATAACGAGTTATTCTGACTGTAGGATAAAGTACTTCCTCCCCTGATAGATGCTTGGATTACACTTCCCTACCTTCTCTTTTGAAAAAACTACATTCTCCTTTCTTGAGAGATTCATGTGTGCTACACTTTAGTCCATTTCAATGTGAACGAGCTTCTTAAGGATGCCTTTTCTCTCTGTGACTCTTAGCATCATTGACATCTAGTTTTGAATCCCTATTAATATTATCACCTATGGGATATTAGAAGATGAAATGAAGATTCCAGGTGAAGTTTCAATGTCAATTGTAGTAGTATTTTAATTTAAAAGTTAGAACATCATTTCTTCTTCTAAAGTCCTTTAATCAATATTAGGATGTTCTAAACTAGTGTTGTACTACATAATACTAAAAGTTGAAGATAGAGGAATAATGGCTCAGGGAAGCTCATTTATAGTTTTTTTACTTTTACTAAGAGGTTTGTTCACATTAAGATGGACTAAAGTGTAGAATATCTCATGTCTTAGGAGAGGGGTGTGTACTTCTTAAAGTTAGAAGCGAGAACAGCTTTACCCTTGGTATTAATGAGTGAGATAGAAATTAATGAGTCATAATATTATTTTGAATATTTCAAATAAAGTATAATTGAGTAAAATGTTATTTTTCCTTAAAATTGAATCTATCTAATGGCTTACTATTGTGCAACTATCGTCAATGACAGCTAAAAAGAACAGTGGCAGAACCACTTATCAAAAAAAGGAAACTTCTCTCTTTTTTTCTCTCTTGGTTACATGGCATTTTGTAATTGTACACACTCTTAATCTAGTTTTGTGTTGACTTCTTGGTAAAATAGATTTTGATTTTAATGTTTTTGTTCGATACCATAAATGAAGTCTTGAGATTTAATAGTTTTGTTGTCTAATATTTATACTTTATATTTTAGAGTCATTATGTTGCTTATTATATGGCTTGTACTCAGATGCAGCCATTGCATTTTTACCTACTGAACTGCTAGATACTTTAATTTATCCTTTGATTCCTTTCGTTCTTGTATTTCCTTTCTTTTCTTAATAATATTTCTTTTATAAAATAGTAGTTAGATTTTGGTTGCTGGTGGTATTTTGAAGTGGGTTTTGTATGAAGCTTTTCCCTCTACCATGCTCTGATTTATTCATGTTTCATTTGCTTTTTCACATTTTCTTCATATTGCTGGATGCTTTATGTCAACTTGAAATGCAGCTTACTTTTCTGCCTTTTGCTTGTATTTAGCTGACTGAAGAACTGTCAAAAGTTGAAGGAAAGCTAAAACTAACAGAATCTCTTCTAGAAAGCAAGGTATTGCTTGTAGGCTTGGTTGACTTTAGTAATGGGTCATTTTCCTAGGTTACATGGTATGCTTAGTGAATTGAATATTTCTGGCAGAATCTTGAAATAAAGAAAATCAACGATGAAAAGAAAGCATCAATGGCAGCTCAATTTGCAGCTGAAGCCACTCTACGAAGGGTCCATGCTGCTCAAAAAGATGATGACATGCCTCCAATAGAAGCAATTCTTGCTCCTTTGGAGGCTGAACTCAAGCTTGCTCGGCAAGAGGTATATTCTTGTTTTTGGAGTTCATATTGTAATCCCCTGGAGAAAGAATTGATGGAAGGACTGAAGCTGGCTTATAACAAATGATTTTTTATTTTATTACCTTCCATTTATTCCTTGCAGATTGCTAAACTACAAGATGATAACAAAGCTTTAGATCGCCTTACCAAATCTAAAGAAGCTGCATTGCTTGAAGCTGAGAGGACTGTTCAGTTTGCTTTGGCTAAGGCGTCCATGGTGGATGACCTCCAAAACAAAAATCAAGAGCTAATTAAACAGATTGAGATTTGCCAGGTATTGCAATCTTGTATAACTTTTCTCTCTCCTCTCCTGGTACATCAGAACCATGATATTTAACTTATACCTTCTTTCTTTGACATCAACTTTCTCAGGAAGAAAACAAAATTTTGGACAAAATGCACAGACAGAAGGTAGCAGAGGTTGAAAAGCTCACCCAAACTGTGAGGGAGCTAGAAGAGACTGTCCTTGCGGGTGGTGCAGCTGCAAATGCTGTGAGAGATTATCAGAGGAAAGTTCAAGAAATGAATGTAATGCGATAAAGTCTTCAGCAATTTTGAAGTCCCAGTTGCTTTATTATTGGTTATATTCTCCTCTAGTTAATATTGTATTTATTTTTTCATGGTTTATTGATATTCTTTAGGAAGAAAGAAAAACTCTAGACAGGGAATTGGCCCGTGCCAAAGTAACAGCAAATAGAGTTGCCGTTGTGGTTGCAAATGAATGGAAAGACGCTAATGATAAAGTGATGCCTGTCAAGCAATGGCTTGAAGAACGTCGATTCTTGCAGGTAGTATTATTATTTTACTCTGCTAATTCATTTGGATTTAGTGGTTGAGTCTTCTACGTTCTTTACCCTTTTTCTTGTGATTCTTTGATGAAAATTTGCTTGCATTTGGCTTTGCTTTCCATTTATTATTTATTAAATCATTATAGGGAGAAATGCAGCAACTTCGGGACAAGCTTGCTATAGTTGAGCGTGCTGCAAAATCTGAAGGACAGTTGAAAGTAATAATCTGGTTCATATATATTAACTTATGTGATTAGTTCTTTCATTATTCAAGGTAAACTTTTAAAAAATTTCAGGAAAAATATCAATTACGACTTAAAGTGCTAGAGGAGAGTTTGAAAGGAAATTCTAACAGTAATAATCGAAGCACCTCAGATGGAAGAAGTGTGAGCAACGGTCCTTCTCGTCGTCAATCCCTAGGGGGAGCTGATAACTTCTCAAAACTAACCTCTAATGGGTTTTTGTCTAAAAGAACACTATCCTCCCAACTGAGGTCATCCCTATCCTCTAGCACAGTTTTGAAGCATGCTAAAGGAACATCTAAATCTTTTGATGGTGGTACAAGAACACTGGAAAGGAGTAAAATTCTACTGAATGGAACACCTCCTAGTTACACATTCAACCAATCACTTGAAGAAACCAAAGAGAGAGAGGCAAATGATAATTGGAAAGGAAATTCAGATGATAAGCCAAATGACTTCCCAACAGTGGATGCAGAAGATAATAGTGTTCCAAGTGTTTTGTACGACCTGCTTCAGAAAGAGGTCATAGCCTTGAGGAAAGCTGGTCATGAGAAAGATCAAAGCTTAAAAGATAAAGACGATGCTATTGAGGTAAGTGTTGAGTTTATTAACTGTGTTTGTATATAATCCTTGCCTTCTTATTTACAAATGATAGTTCTTGCTAATTGTTTCCAATGATCATTATCTGTCAGATGTTAGCAAAGAAGGTAGATACACTAACCAAAGCCATGGAAGTAGAGGCAAAGAAGATGAGAAGGGAAGTAGCTGCTATGGAGAAGGAGGTAACTGCTATGCGTGTGGAGAAAGAACAAGAGAACAGAGCAAAGCGGTTCAGTAATGTAAAGGGCCCAGTAAACAGTGCCAAACATCAGCTAATTTCTGGGAGGTAATTCTTATTTTTGGGGCTTCCTTCTTTCCTTAATATGCAGTTACTGGCTTTCTTGCTCATTTCATTTGCTTTCTTCTACAAATGGTTTGAGGCTGGGAATTTTAACCATTGTAGAGATTTAATCTGTTACTAGTTTTACTGTTACTTTCAAGGGATATTTTTCCATGGATATAGGTTCAGTTTGGGTAAACTTCTAAAGAAGTTCTTATAGGAGAAGAAACTAGTATAAAAAATGAATAAAACTTCTTTCATAAGTTAGAAACAACTTATGTTTTTTGATTTTTTGAGAAGTTCTTTCATTTAACTTATCTAAAATTTGAAGAGATAACTTGTTTTTAACTTATGAAAGTTCTATTCATTTTTTATATTGATTTTTTTGTCCTACAAGAACTTTTCTAGAAGTTTACCCAAACTGCGCCTTAAATTATTTCATTTTCCTGGATCATGGGCTCCAAATGTGCTTTGGTTTCTGGGTTTTCTCTACTAATTACCACTACAAATCTATGAGCCTGAAAGAAAATGGTTCATTTTTTTTTTCTTTTTTGTATTTTTAGCCTGGGCCTCCTATTTTGGTAATTGAAAATGAATGGGAAAGCCCTTGGCAAATGCAACCAAGTTTTGTGTATTGCAGTTTTTCATCAACATTGAAATTCCATAAAATCCTCTTGGTCATGCATGGTGAGTCTCCTCTCCCCATGACCACATATAACCAAGAAAGAAAAATGGGTTAATTTAATTATTGCAAAGCTGGGTGCTCTTAGGTCTAGTATCTTTCCTGATTTCTTGTCATCTTCAAACAGTCTAGATTTTGACATTCATCAATACATTTTGGCAACATGTTGGTCAATCTACTTGAATCTGAATATTGATATATATATATATATATATATATATATCCATGTGTAATCTTTAGTTATGACTAATGAGTTTTGGGAACTCATTGTTGAACATATAATTTGCCTCCAAAGAGGGTTTGTATTGAATAGGTATGTGGGTTGGCCTGCATAAGCTCATGGTTAAATGTGTCAGTCTGTGTAGACCCACATGTAAATGAGCCTATATTTAATATGGCCTGCATAGGTCCATGGTTAAACGGGTTGGTTGTTGGCTGGCCCGCATAGATATAGTTTTTAATTTTTACTTTTTAAATAATTAAAAAATTTTAAAATTCATTTTATGTTTTATATATTAAAATGTATTTTTTAAAATTTTTAGCAGGTTAATGGGTTGGTCTGCATACTTGCAAGCCTAGGTGGGCTTTGGCCCACATACCCAGCAGTTGATGTTTGTTTAGTTTTCTTGACTAGTTCAATTAGTTAGAACGTTCACATATTTAAAACAAGAGTATGATGGATTGAGAATATGACATGTTTGAATGTTTCTGTTATTTGGACTTCTCAATTAACAAAGACAAAATCTTCTAGTATGGTATATCAATTCAATCCTTTTCCCTTTTGTTTTCTTTTGTCTACCCTTTTCTTTTTCTCTTTTCCTGATTTCCCTTCATAATTTGGGATGACTAATGGTGTCTCATTTGCACTGAAATGTGGCATTGAGTGGATGGACAGCACCCCGTGAGTGGGCATATGGGCTGCAGTCTGCAGACCTGTCCACGTAATCTGTGGTCCACAGGTATGGAGCAAACTAATTATAGTCTGAATAATTGCGGGTCTATGTGGGTTGATCCACACAACCTATGGGTTAATGGGTTTGGTCTGCTGGTTCACAAGTAAGTCTGTTTATCATCATAAAATATGTTTTTTTATAATTTTATTATCCACTTTTAAAGTTAAAATGAAAATCATTTTTGGAAGATCCGCAGGCTACATGGTAGCCAATAAACTTTGCTAGCTTAGAAAAGAAAATGGTATGTGGATCGGTCCATGGTGCCTTTTAAACGCTAAACTGTTCAAATGCAAGCAGATTGGTCCATTTAACTGCAGGCTTTAGTGAACCAGGTTGGGTTAGTCCACATACCCAACCCCCCCTGCTCTTAATCACTTACAAGAAAGGATAAATGGATCAGTTTTACTTTTGCAGTGCAGACTTGCAGAGTCCTCTCAGTATCTTTCTGATTTCTTATATTGAGCTGTCTAGATTTTGACATTCATCAGTACATTTTGGCAACATGTTGGTCAATCTACTTGAATCTAAGTATTGATATTAGTATTTCTATATCATGTTGGTCTGCATGTAAAATCATTTGGGCAGACCTGCAGGCCCTTCGACCTGGTAGCAAATAAACTTCACAAAAAGAAAAAAAAGAAAAGAAAAGAAGAAAGAGGTATGCGACTCGGTTGAGTTCTGCATACCCAAACCCCACTCCCCATAATCACATATAAACAAGAGGGAAGTAAGGATTAGTTTTATTATTGCAATGCTTGATCTTTTTATGTCAAGTATCTTTCCTGATTTCTTATCTTCGAACTGTCTAGATTTTGGCATTCATCAGTGCTTTTTGGTGACATGATGGAAAATATACTTGATTCTAATTATTGATGTTAGTATCTGTGTCCTTGTATAATCTTTATTTATGATTAGTGAGTTTTCAGAAACATGGTCAAATCTACTTGAATCTGAATGTTGATGTTAGTATTTTTATATTCTTGTGAAATATGAGTGATTTGTGCACATGGGTTTGGACCACAAAAATATGGTCTATCTAATTTAGAGATGGGTCAGTCTGCAAAAAACCCTGGGTTAAATGGGTTTGGAGCATGGTTTTATGGGTCAATCCATTTACTTGCATAAAAATTAATATACTTTTTTAATGGTTTTATTAAAACCATTTTTTATAGTTTTATTAGCTGACTTCATCCAATAATAGGATATAACTTGGTTGTTGGTTGTTGTTATTAGCCATTTTTATAGTTAAACGATAAGCAATCATTTGGGGCTGATGCGTGCACCATTTGGACTTGTTAGCAAATGCAGAACTTTACAGACAAAAGAAAAAAGTAGTTGAGCAGACTGGTCCATTGAAATGTGGGCTTAAATGGGTCACCTGTTTAAATGAGGGCTTATACACATTGGTATGTTTTATTGCGGGTTCGAGTGGACTGTGTCTGTCCCCCTAGACATAATCACTAAAAAGCAATGAGGAAAAATGGATTGATTCGACTTATGTCAAGTATCTCCTGACTCTTATCTTTGAACTGTCTAGATTTTGGCATTCATAAATACTATTTTGGCATCATGGTGGTATTGAATATTGATTTTAGTATATCTATATTATTATGTAATCTTTTACTTTTGACACTAGTTTTCAACACTGTTGAACCTAGAATCCGCCTCTAACGGTTTTGTGTTACTCCTTTTGTTTTCTTGACTAGTTAAATTAATTAGAAGCTTAGAATGTTCAAATTTTTATAAATGTGAAATTTTTGTTACTTGGTGAATATTGACTAAATTTTCCCGTGTGATGCACTACTGCTTTTGCTTTCTTTTGTCTGCCATTTTTTGCCCTGATTTCTCCCTCTTAATTTGGGATGCCTAACGGAGTCTCTCATTTACCCAGAAATGTGACACGGCGTGGATTAACACGCAGCACCCAATGACAATTAGTCTATTACAGTGGCGCTTGGGAGTAATCTTTCATAGGCATCATTCTTCTGCCCTTCTCTGTTTTTTTTCTCCTTCTTATCCAATTGATTCTATGATTGTAACTGGCATGCCGTGGACCAGTGTTACTGATGTCGGCCATGGATTGGGGATAAGAAAACAATCGCAGGAATCGGTATGCATCTGACCATTATGTTCTCTGCTTAGAGAGAGATCGGCTAAGTAAGCAGGCGATGGAAGACAATTAACTTGGACTAACTTTCACTCTTTCAGCTTTGCTGAGTGGTTGTGTGGTTGTATAGCTAGCTTTATCCCCCCGCCCCTTAATCCTTTTTGCAATTTGTATTTGTAATACACAGATAGTGTGATTGTGTTGGTTCAGGTTTGTTAATATACTAGTTTGTTAAAGAAATGAATCTACGAAAGTATAAAATCTAGACCATGCCTCGATATAATATCATCTTGCACAAGGATAACAAGTACAAGGAACAAACATTAAGTATTCATGTTTGGTCGAATTGTTTTTACCATCATTCGGACGTACGGTAAAATTACCCAATATATAAACACAAACTTCAACATTTTGAGATGCCATCACATGTACCCAGTCTTTCTCAATTGGAGCACGTATCTTAACAACTTGAAAAAACAATTAATAAAATAAATACACAACTTTTGATTTTAATGAACGCAAAAATATTTGGATCATTGTCAATGAAAACAAATTCAATAGACTCGGAGATATTCGGATCCATAAATGTTGGAACCTTTCAAACATGAATAACTCGCACTTATTTAACTTGAAGAAAGTAATAACAAAGACGTGCATATTTTTGAACGAAAATACATAACTATTTATAACAAAACATTACACTGTCTTTTATGCATTCAAAAAAAATAAAATTTGAATTTAACCAATTTGGAGGGAAATTAGATTAGATCGGATGGATAGCTCTTGCAGATATAGAGTGATATCACGTAATATTTGCGGACACAAGTCACAAACGATTTAACAATACTACTTTATTAACCACAAATATGTGAAAGAAGATAATAACATTATATAAACAGTAGATGATGCAATTCCAATGATATAATTAGAAAATGATGCGTATAATCATTACAAAAAAGAAGAAACCCCAAGAATGAATTAAACTTTGCAAGAGAAAAAAGGACAATTGCGGCGCAAAAAGGTAGGAAATATGATACATATAAAAAAGCAAGCAAATATGAAAAGACAAAGAAAGAAAGAGTTTAAATAAGACTGATAACCTACTTTAGGAAAAAGTACAAAAATCAATTGAAGAAATTAATCTTACACATTATACCTTATCCTTGGTTTCACATGTATCACATCTCAAGTTATTTTGACGTGTAATATTGGAAACTAAAGAAGATTATCGGTTTTAGATGGAAAAGATAAAATCAAAACCTCAAAAATGAAGACACTAAACAAATTCGAATGCCCCTTTCAACTATACTTAAGATACTAAAGTACTCAATTACATAAGTTGTTTAATTGTCAAGCCCACTCCTTTTAATGTAGATTAAATTAATTTTTTTTTTCTATTCAATGAGGTTAAAAAGTCTAGAAAAAGTAAAGACTAGCCACTAATTCTAGTAATATAAACACCTAAAATGTCTAAACTTAACGAGAGTAATAACAAAGGAGGACTCTTATCAAAATAGGAGGCATACTCAAAGATTCTAAGCCCATTTTGACAACTTGCAATGTATTACAATGACAAGAATATCAACACACTTATTTCTCTCTCTTAAAATATGTTTAAACCTAATAAATTTTAGAAGACTTATAATTGCAATAATTAGATGAAAGAGTAGATGATTACAAATTCGAATAATTAACATTAAGTACAAGGCATCCTTAGAGTCTTTCTATCCAAATTAAATGAATATTATTTTAGATCACTTAATGCAGTCCATAGAATATTCTCCACAGTTAAACGACTAAGGGGAGAAAAAAAATTAAATCCCGTGCAGAACTAGCTATAACTTGACCATGAATATCTCTTATTAGATCCCCAAATCTAGCACTTTCATGAGCCTTAGAAACCGCATCATCCACATTAAGTTTTAGATGACCTAGAGGGGGAGGGGGGAGGGGAACTATCTATCCTGAATTCGGTTATCTAGAAGATCCTTAGCCGCTTTTGTCTTGCCCCTGAAATAATGATTCAAACACTCAAAATCATAGCAAATATTATGATTTAAGGAACTAGGAGAAACATATGAAAGCTAAAAAATGGGCTTTTTTTTACATAAATGCAGCTTTTTTAACATTAAATTATACATGTGCCCCTTTTTTTTTCCTTTACATAAATGTCGTAAAACATATATACAGAAGTTGATTACACATGACTTCTACATTCCATTTTTGCCTTTGAAGAAGTTGACTTCAATGGACTTCCATTCTTCAAAGAAGTCGACTTTAATCGACTTTGCGTTGGATCCAAACAAGTCGATTGTAATCGACTTTTATACTGCAAGAAAAACGGCTAAAATCGACTTCTCTTGACGTTATTGGAGACGATTTTAAATGACTACCATATACCTTTAGACCAGAAAGAAGCAAGAAGAAAGTGAAGTGAATAGAGAGAGAAAGGAGGCCAGAGAGAGTGATTAGAGAACAACAGAGATAGTGAAGACAACAGAAATGACGGAAGATGGATAACAATTTATATCGACTTAATTTTGTTGATCATATTGGAAGCAAGCTGTTAACACTGGTAAAATAATTTTTAAATATATTTAGTTAATTTATAATTAGTTATTTTTGTATTTAATTTAATGTATTATTGATTCTGTTATTATATGTAGAAATATGTGCAAATGTTAATACTTATTATCTTTTGAATTAATTATAATTGTTTGTTATAATTATTATATTGAGGAATGTAAATAAAATTCTATTAAATATTTATAATTATTATGATAATTTAGTTTTGTATTATAGTAATTTATAATTATAATAATTTTGATATAATATTTTTATTTAAATCTTATATATATTATTTTGTTATTGTACATGAAGCTTGAATTTTAAAAAGTAGGCATTATAATATGATGGTTCATCTAGATTCAAGAATGGAACCATTTCTTAGGCAGACTAGTTTTTGGCATGTTGCACAGATGATTTCAGTATTTGATTATGATAGGACACTCATACGTGCACTTGTAGAACGTTGGAGGCCTGAGACACATACATTTCATTTTTCATACGGAGAATGTACGATCACTTTGGAGGATGTTGTGTTTCAACTAAGCTTACGTGTGGATGGAATCCCTGTGAGTGATTTCATTGGAGTGTGGGAGAAATTTTATGATTGAAATATATGGGTATTGTGTGAAGATTTACTTGGAGTAATTCCTGATGAGAGTAACATCAAAGAATTTTTTGTAAATTTACAGTGGTTTATTGGAGCATTACCTCACAATACTGATGGGCAAACTATTATCTGTTACACTAGAGCGTACATAATGATGATATTTGGTTGGGTATTGTTTCCAGATAAATCAGGATTTAGGGTTCATATGAAGTGACTACCTCTTTTAACTGATTTTACTAAGATTCCAAACTATAGTTGGGGTTCTGCTATTCTAGCATCCCTTAATCGTGAGCTTTGTCGTGCGATGAAATACAATGTCACCGAGATTGTAAGTTGTTTGCCTCTTTTACAGTCTTGGGCATGGTATAGAATACCTTAGTGAGCCCCTAGGCACCATTATCCTCTCATTTTTTCACTAGCATTGAGGTACAAATTAATTTCATCAATATATTATTTTTTTTGTTATTTATATATGTTAATTTTGCAAGTAAAAACTAATTATGCCCATTTCAGGTGGAAAAGTTATAGGCCATCGACGAGATTAGATACGGATAAATTATTGCGATATAGGAGGATCATTGATTCAATTGACATTATTGGGGTTAGTTCAAATAGGGTGTATGTTACTAAATTATTTTGTTTTAAATAATTATATTTTTGGTCTAATATTTGTTATTTATTATTTCAGTTTAGGTGGACGCCTTATAACAACAATGAGGCGAGGAACATTACACATCTTTTCGTGTATGATGAGGTTGATGTTTGGGCATCTGTGACTGCTCTTATATAGTTTACCATGATTGAGTGACACCTTGTTGATCGCGTAGTTCAACAATTTAGTGGAGCACAACACATACCAATCAGCCCGATAAATATTGATCGGTTGCATGCTAAGGATGGGAGGGGTGATCTAGATATATGGTGGTCTGATTATCATGTGACATGACATGCTAAATGGGAGGCACATAGGGACCGACGAGTTCCATATCTTCTAGCTAATGATGATCGTCCCTCTATCGAGTACTTTCAGTGGTACTTGTCAGTCACTAATAGATTTTTGTTGTTGGATGGAGGCCCACAGGATGCAGAGCTTAGGGACTTACCTGATGGTGTACCACTACATGCCCCCCAGCACCTGGCATAACACACCCTGATGACGTTCCAGATAGACACTCTTTCATGCGTCGTTTGCGTGCAGGTACATGTGCTAGTAGACGTTAGTACCGTGATGAGGTGCATATACGAACCAACCTCCCAGCATACAATGTAGAATTTGATACAAATCCAACTGTACAACATACCTCACACTACGTATAACGCCCGACACCTACATACCCCAGCCACCACTTCATGTCAGGACCTAGCCAACAACAGTACATAGTTGTTCCTTCTCATTACCAGTTCATGTCGGACCCTAGCCAACCATGTATGACTCTAGCTAACATTTTATGGCAGGCCCTAGTCATCAATTCATGTCAGATTCTGAGGTTACTCCTAGTCTTATGCAACATTTTGTCACAGGTCTAGCTTAGGATGATATTGCACGACATATATCTTTTAACCCACCTTTCATGTAAGATGTTGAGGTTATGACTTGGATAAATTCGACGGGTACAAGCAGATCTGTGCCACCACCAGATAATTTATATCGACCATCATCAACACAAATCCGAACTCCCTCCTTTAATGGTTCACTGGAGGAGGAGGAGCATCACACACTTGTCCAACAGCTGGAAGCGAATGATTAGAACATGCACGACCAAAGTCAGCAGGAGGAGAAACATGCACACTGCAGACCTGTACGACATATTGTATATCGTCGTTGTGCAACAGGGAGTCACCTTGTTGGACCCAGACGCAATAGGTGTGGCCCATAGTCACATATGTTGCATGGTAATCTACATATTTTATGGACTATGTACTTTAAAATTTAATTTTCTCTACTTTAGAATTTTAATTTTTTATACTTTAGAATTTTAATTTCAAGTACTTTGGAATTTGAATTTTATGCAGTTTAAAATTTAAATTATATGTCCTTTAAAATATTATTTTTATA